TTAGCCGATCATGTGCGGCCCATTGTGTAAATAATGTATATAAAGCAGAAATTCTGGGGGAACTTCCATTCCTCCTCACCACTATGAGCTGAATAAAGAGCATGAAATCCACTCTCGACTCTGAGTATATTTCAAATCTGCTCCGTGATCTTAGGAACTAGCATGCACAATTTGGTCATGGTATCCTTAAAAATGCCCAAAGGCAGAAAGCACTGACAGAAGAACAACTTTCCAAAATATATAGCTGACAGCACAGTCAGTGTTGTGTTCTAAATATACTGTCAGTCAGTCTCTGGACTGTGAGTTTTGCTTAAACAACTAGTTCTACTCAGGGCTTTTATTCAGCCGGAACTCACCAGAACTCAGTTCCGGCACCTCTCAGGTGGGCACCATTGCCATTATAAAAGAACAAGGGAGGCATTCATGGTGAGTTCCAGCACCTCTTTTTCTAGAAAAATAGCACCGGTCCTACTTAGTGGTGAGGATTGCTTTCCAAGGCAAGTCATGGTATATGCTGCAGATCCCACAGATATTACACACACCCCAATCTCTGAGTGGTAAGAGACTTCAGGGGTGCCAGCACTTAGCCAGGGTTCCATTTCTTTGGAATGAAGGTCACTGGAGACAGCGGCGTAGCTAGCTGCTTGGATGCCTGGTGCTGGGGCGTGTCCTGCAGCCGGGGGGGGGGCAATTTGTGCCCATAGGGGCGGGGCATGCCTCTCCAACGCTTGGTGCCTCTCCACCACCTCCCCCTCAGCTGTAGGGCGGCTGAGGGAGAGGCAGTAGGCAGACGCAAGTCCCACGCTGCAGTTTCAGGCAGCGCGGAACCTGCAGGTGCCTAAGCCACCACGTCACTCCTAAAAAGTTTTGTGAGTCCATTTTTAAAAAACTCATTTTGTCACCTCCCCCTCAGTGATGACACACGGGTCAGACCACACCCCCGTTCCTAGGCCACTGACTGGAGACTGGGGTGTCTTTAGGGCATTTGGTTTTATTTGCATATATATACAGCCTAAGCACAACATAAAAGGGCTCACAGCATTAACATTCCAACAGACACCTTCATTCCCCATTAGGTTTCCAGTCCCCGCAAAGTCATAGTTCTTGTGTCAGCACAGAGAGCAACTTCAGGTTGTCTGTGTCTCTCGAGCTTCCACCCCAAGACCTGACTAGAAACAAAGACTTGGCTATTTTGCTTCCAGCCAGTTGAGGGGAGAGAGGCTTACCTCCTGGAAGAGCAGCTGGGGACCATCATGTTGGAGAAGGCTGCTATAGGGCAAGAACGCAGTTTGGGAGATCACTCAGGAAAGCAGAGAAGCCTGGAAGGGCAACATAAAAGAGACGGAAGCTTTCTCAGATAATCAGTTTTTTAAAAAATGAGACAAAGACTGAATTATGAGACTTCCTAGAAAGATGGGGAGAGAAAAGAAAGAGGGATTGTGGAATGGTTGGCAAAGCTTCTTGGATGGCTTTAGGCCTTTGAGGAGGTGGGAGGAGAGAATCTGAAGAGGAACAGGTTTCCATTCTTTCCTTATCATCATGTCCAAGTCCAAGGAACAGAGTGTTGATTCAAGGGAGTGCAGGTGGAAAGATCCCTATCATTCAAGGTCCTTAGGATCCTCACAGCTTCAGGGTGCCTCTTAACTTCAGAGATCACACTGAGAAAGGGCACCCCTTTCATCGCAGGATCACTTCCTTTTATTTTCTGCAGTGTAGTGGTCCTTATTGAATCCGGTTGCCCTCCTTGCCTCACCCCCTGACTGGCCACAGAAGTTAGCAGCCTGGACCCTTCTCAATATTTTCTTTGTACACCTAATGTTCACTCCTTTAGAGGTACGACAGCTTTCCTCATGTTCTGGAGCATTTGGCACCAGTGTGAAGGGACTGGTTCTGTTTATGGATGTATGTGCACATGGCTTCTCCAAGCAAGACGGGGATCTGCAATTGAGATTCCTCTTAGTTTGGAAGGGACTGCATATGTGCATTGGTGCATACATGTGGCCCCTTTGGACTGATGGGTCTTCTCTTAGCAGAATGGCAGCAGCAGGAGCACTGAAGCAGCAACCATCTTTGCCCCATGTACCAGCATTAAGTTTACACTTAAACCATGGTTAAGATTGACCATGGTATAAAGTGATGTCTGAACCAAGACATTGTGTCTACAAAAAGGTCTTGTGGACTCTGAGATATTGCCCATCAATATTGGTTGGCTTGTGCCAATAACACATGTTCCCTGCTCTCTTCTGTCATTATATATGACAACTACGTTTGTCTGCCTGATTACCTTAACAATCTGCATATGGTAATAAATCAAAAAGCCTTTGTGATGGCCATACAGAATGCTTTTCTTTCCCTAGTTGTGTTGGGTATACATACACTGGCATTTCAGCAGCCTCCAGGCTTTTCCATGCATTGAACATGAAGAAGTCATGTTAGGATATGTCTGTCTATCTTGTAATTTCTTCTTGGACAATCATCTAATAAGCCATCTCCTGAGATCCTTAACTCATATATCAATTGAGTTGAAGGAATTTAAGAAATGTTGAAGGCACAAATGCAGACAATTTCAACAAGAAAGAAAAGTAGGAGGTATCTAAGAAACCAGTGTGGCTACATAAGGAGCTTACAGATTTTTAAAGGGCATGTATAGTATAATAAATGGAAGAAAGGGGAAATCATTAAGTAAGAGGATACAAGAGAAGCCAAAAATTGCAGCGGAAAGGTAAGGCGGACCAAAGCTCAGAATGAGCTCAGGCTTGTAAGAGAAGTTAAAAAGAATAATAATAAATGTTTCTTCAGCTATGTTCTAAGAAAGAGGAAGAACAAATAAGTAGTAGGTCCTCTGTGTGGAGAAGATGGAGAAATGCTATTGGGTGACAGAAAGTGGAACTGCTCAACACATACTTTGCCTCTGTCTTTAACTAAAGAGATAAAAACAGGGGTACATTCAGGTATGGATCCAGAAAAATATTGTGGCCACGGTGTAAATGTTTCCTCTTTGGCATAAACCATGAGAAAATGGGCTTCCTGGGACAGAGGGGAGACACGGCAGTCCAAACCTGAAGAATGACTGCTAGAGGAGACTGTATTAAACACGAGAAGGAGGTTATAACCTTGGACTAGGCTCCATCTTCTTTTCCTTCCAGTTGGGTTTTATATCATATTTTTGAGAAGAATTAAATCACACAATGGGTTTGAAAGAGAATTTTGAACTCGGCAGTGAGTGGTTTCCCCCCCTTTTCTTTGTTTGCCCTCACAATTGAACCAGCCCTTAGAACTAGGATGGTTGGGGGTTCCCCAGTTGGTTCCCCACCACCACTCCTCTGTATCCAGCCAGTCCATGACATTGGCTACCAGGGGATTGATGGTGGGATGAGGATGAGTGGTCAGAGGGAGAAGACTGGGAGAAGGGGGTGTTGGGAGTCGAAGGGCCAATAGGTTTTGCTTGGCTGAGGTCACTGAGGGCATTAGAGGTTGATTGCAGGTGTGAGGGTATTGGCGGCGAGCCTTCGGCTCGAGTGGCAGTTAGGCATTGGTAAAACCTGGTTGGGGGAGGGGAGGTGTGGCCATCACCTGCCCCTCCATGTTAAAGGGTATTGTGTTAAAGGAATCTGGGGGTCATGGTTCCTGTCCGAAGCCCGGGTGGAGGCTAGGGCCATGGCACAACCTTCCGGTGACCCTGGGGGAGCTCCAAGTTGATATACACTAACAGGGCTGCCCCTACTGGTGGTTAACCCTTGTGAGACTTCCTGCATGGCGGGCAGGAGTCAGATATAGTCAGTTCAGTTCCAATGTCTAAGCCAATACTGCTCATATTCTGTAACCAATAAAGCTGTGGCCTAAATTTTGCCCATTAACCTAATATATGGTGTCCACGTGTTATTATTCAACATAAGGGGGAGGCCTCAGGGTCTTGACACACAATAGGGTTTAGTGAGCAGGAAGAGGCTGAGGCAGAGAGCAGTCCCAGCTCAGAGGCAGGAGAGGAGGCTAGAGAGGAGGAGCAGGCTAGAGAGGAGGGGGTCCAAAAGGCAGCAATGAGGCAGGCTGCTGAAGAATTTGGGGACTCTCCCCCTCCTGCTGCAACCAGCTCCCCTCCCACCTGGTCTCTTAGAAGACACAGGGAAATGAAGAGCACAGAGCAGAGATTGGTTGTGCACTCTGCAACCGACTGGAGGAAAAAAACCTGGAGAAGAGAGGTCTTAGACAGCTGTGGACAGACAGGGACCTTCAGTTGTCACAACTGCCACATTGGGGCAAAACTTACGGGAAGAGTTGCTGTGATTACTAGGCCTGTGCTGTTTTGGCACACACATATACACACACACACAGTCATACCTTGGGTTAATTATGCTTCAGGTTGAGTGTCCTCAGGTTGGTCCCGCGGTGACCCGGAAGTAACGGAATGGGTTACTTCCAGGTTTCACTGCTTGCGCATGCGCAGACGCTCAAAATGATGTCACGCGCATGCACAGAAGCGGCGAATTGCGACGCACGCACACGCAGACGCAGGTTGTGTTCTGCTCAGGATGCGAATGGGGCTCCGGAACAGATCCTGTTCGCATCCAGAGGTACCACTGTATATATATTCCTGACCCTTGCTTGACTCTGGCTCCTGACAATAAGTGACGCTTATTTTGAATTGTGACCAGACTGTTAATTCTCCTGGAAAGCTACCAGGTACGCTGACATTCAAAATACAAAAGTTCAGTCAGCGTGCAAAACCCTACATAATTACAGGTATTGTCTTTGGAATGGCGTGCATTTATCAGAGGAGAAGCGGCTCTTTTTGGAGGGCAAGTATGGTGGTGTGCATAAAGGACAGGCTCATTTGGTCCCCAAGCTATGTTAAGATGATACTGATAGGCTTTATGGCTCCAATAAATCCCTAGCTGAAGTGGAATGGCACTTACACAAGTACAGGAAGTTGGCTTCAGAATACCCCTACCTGAAGTGGAATAGTATTTATAAAAGAACAGGAAATTACCTTGAACTACTCAAAGAAGCACCAGGATGTTCCTACTTATTGATGGACTGTCTTGGCTGCTTGAATGCCCACTACCATTTCCTTATACAAAAATGTATAAAGCGCCTTCACTAAGCAGCAAGCACCCACATAAGACAGCAGTCATGCAGGGCAGTCACATTGCTGTCCTGATCCTGGAACTTCTCATATGCTCATATGCTGCCGCTCAGCAAATATCAGGTAAGAGTTCCCTCTCAGAGAGGTGTGGATGATGATAATGATGATGATGATTTCAATTTACCGTATTTTTCGCCCTATAGGACGCACTTTCCCCCCTCCAAAAATGAAGGGGAAATGTGTGTGCGTCCTATGGGGTGAATGCAGGCTTTCGCTGAAGCCTGGAGAGCGAGAGGGGTCGGTGCGCACCCCTCTCACTCTCCAGGCTTCAGGAAGCTATTTGCAAGCCTTGGGAGCCCGCGGGACTTCCTGCTGGGCTCCCTAGGCTTACGGATAGCAGCCTGTTCTGGGGGCTAGGGTCGGGGGAAGCTCGGGCTTCCCCCGCCCCAGCCCTGCGCCTGGGGGAAAAATATTTTCCCCCCTTTATTCCCCCCCAAAAAAAACTAGGTGCGCTCTATGGGCTGGTGCGCCCTATGGGGCGAAAAATACAGTATATACCGCCCTTTAGCAAAAGATCCCAGGGTGGAATTCCACAGCCCAAACAAAAGAAAATGGTATCACACAGCCTGAACAATATAAAATTGCATTAGAAACCGTACAGAATGTGTCCTTGGACCTGAAACTGAGATTGATCCAGCAAAAATGAATGTTTCAAGTACACTGGACTCCACAACATTTGTCTAGGAAGGAACTAAGAGCTTTGGCTGCTCAAACAAAGCTTTCCGTTTCTCTGTGGAACACGATGTAAGGTGGTTTTGGATAGCATGGGGGACTCGCATCAAATATTAACAGTTTTCTCTCTCATTATAACAGGGAAAACCTGTGAGAAACCCTTGCAAAATACAAGAATTCAATGGTTGGCTTCTTACTCATTCCTGTTGCATTTCTTCAATATTGCTACCTGCTTCTTAAGCCCCCCTTCATTGTTTCTTTGCAACTTGATAGTTTCCACCTGGATCCCAGAGCACTGGGCTTGCCTTCTCCCAAGACACAATGGGATGTGTTAAAAGGACACAGCTTCCACCATCTGTTGGACTCACTGTGCTCAGAGGCAGCTCCTAGAGCTTAGCAGAAATCACAAGGCTCTGAGGAAATTAAGCAATTCTTATATGCATGAATAAGGATGAGGCTGAGCAGTTAAGCAGCGCTTCCCTACTCAGCCAGCCATCCCAACCAGTTGTGCCATCAACACAGGTCTTTGGGGCAGACGTCCAGGGCCCTGCTCTGGATTGAGCAGGGAGGGCCCTCAAACACAGTAGACCTGGCTTAAGTCATTTTGAAGTAAGTGAAATAATACACATTACCATTAAATCCAGAGTTTAACGCTGCTGACCTGCACCACTGATCCCAGCTGACTCAAGAGGGTCGGAACTGAGCTTTGTGGCTGGTCAAAATAATATTGAGAATAATATCAGTCAGAAAAACAGGATAGGTGCCTCATCATAAGAAGGAACAGGGTAGAAACTCAATTTAGTTTGCATTTAAAGGCAAATCTACTGAATTTGTACTTCCCGAAATAATATGCGAACTGAAACACAGAGCGGTTCTCCAGCCAAGTAATGTGTACCAAACTGTATATACTAAAGTATTATAGAAATACTGTAAAATTAATGAATGTTAGAAAAATGTTGGAATGACGTTATATGGCTTTAGTAGAAATGTTATAAGGAACTAAGTATAAATAGATTAATAGAGTATTAAAGGAAAAGTTAAGGTTAGAATGTGTCTAGATAATTATAGGGTAGAAAACAGAGGAAGATGGAAAGGAATTGCTGAAACAATTAACAGAAGTGGAATACAAAAAGGGAGGTGTGAGGGTGTTGAAATAAGTGAATGGTAGATAAGATATTGAAATTGTTTGATGTGTTTTAAACGGTTTTTGTTTTTTGTTAGTTTAATGTGTTAGTGTTATGTAGTGTCTTTGTATTGTATTGTATTGTCTTTTTTGTGTGTTTAAATTGTTGGAAAAGTAATAAATATTATTTAAAAACAAACAAACAAAACTGTATATACTAAAGTAAAATGTGCATAAAAAGGTATATAGGTATATATAAAATGTATATATATAAAATATATAAAGATATATATCAAAAGGTATATCGGTGACAATGGCATACAAAATGCATAATAATAATAATAATAATAATAATAATAATAATAATAATAATAATAATTTATTATTTGTATCCTGCCCATCTGGCTGGGTTTCCCCAGCCACTCTGGGCGGCTTCCACAAAGACCAAAAATGCACTAATATGTCATACATTAAAAACTTCCCTGAACAGGGCTGCCTTAAGATGTCTTCTGAATGTCAGGTAGTTGTTTATCTCTTTGACATCTGATGGGAGGGCGTTCCACAGGGCGGGCGCCACTACCGAGAAGGCCCTCTGCCTGGTTCCCTGTAGCTTTGCTCCTCACAATGAGGGAACCGCCAGAAGGCCCTCGGCACTGGACGTCAGCGTCCGGGCAGAACAATGGAGGTGGAGACGCTCCTTCAGGTATACTGGGCCGAGGCCGTTTAGGGCTTTAAAGGTCAACACTAACACTTTGAATTGTGCTCGGAAACATACTGGGAGCTACCGGTATATCTTGTATATGTTAAAAATGTTAAGTGTTGTTACGCAGTAGTTCATGTGGATGGCGATAGATGGCGATGCGAACTACAGTCTGAAGACAGAATTCTGAAAAGTGACTAAGTCATTGCAGCAGCTTGGGAGGGCAAGAGGAGGGAGACTGGTTGGCTGGCTGGCAGGTGGGCAGGCAGGTAGCCCGGGTGAGTGAGTGAGTGATTGCACAGGTCACCCAAGCAAATGCCATGGGTGGGCATGTGACCCCAGGGGAAGCAGCAGAACAAGAGGCAGTGTGGATAAGCCCTCAGTTGTTGGACAGCCATGTTCAGGTGCAACACACATACTTTACATTTCCCTTCTCATTTTCATGCTTTGCAAACGCTTCTGCATTCCTGACAGGCTGAGCAACAAACAAAATTTTGCCAAGTATGATAAAAGGAAACAAGAAAGTTTCTGAGTGTGTGTAATGTCAAACGTACTCAGATGGTACCACTATCATGACTACAGAAATGAATGGTGGTTTGCCTTGATGCTAAACAAATTTCCTTGGGAACAAGTACCAGCATGTTGTAGAAAAGGATATGTTTTATCACGTAAAAGTAAGGGCAGACCCACTGAAATTAACAAACCTAAGTCATGTCCATTACCTTCAGTGGGTCTACTCTGAGTAGGGCTAGCGTTGGATACAACCCAAGGGCATTGCGCTGCAGAGGTTGGGAATTGTCTTTCTGCCAAAGGGCTGAATGAGTGCTCCATCCTAGTGGTGGATGTGACCAGATGTAAAAGTGCCTGGGTGTTGAAATCCAATGTCTTCATCTCTCACCTAAATTTAGTCCAGGGTTATCATTTCCGTAGTGTTTCTCTTTTGGGAGGGGAAAAAACCACTTTTTTGGATTTTCCACAGAAAGGGTAAATCTGGATTAAACGGAAAAAGAATGTGTGATGGCATTTTAATGAGGACAAAATTGTATCGTAAGACTTGCATGTATTAGCAAGTGCGTCCACAATAAACTGCCATGTGGAAGCTTCCTCAGGGTGTGATAAGGAAGTTTCTCTCTCCCCCCCCTCTAGGAAGATATCCTTCAAAATGCAAACTCCCTACAGAAATAGGAAAATGCAAAGGAATCTTTCCAAGATTTTACTTTGATCTCCACACCAGGAAGTGTGAAAAATTCGTTTACGGCGGCTGTGGAGGCAATGCTAATAACTTCAGGAATCCGGTGGATTGCATTTGGGAATGTGAAAGGTCTGGTAAGGGAAAATGCTACCTTTTGGGTCTCATCTGGACAACCAAGAGCCTGCACTTTATTCTTAACATGCTGAACAGTCTACTGCAGGGGTCACCAGTATGATGCCCTTGGGTAGAATAGCACCCCGGAGGTGCCTTCCTTTTTGCAGTTTCAGACTATTTGAGCGGCACAGTGGTCAGTCCCCCTGGAAGATCTGTGATGAATTGCTCATCATTTAATCCGCTTTCATTCCTGGAGGAAAGGGCTATTAAATTACTCATTTCTTCCATTATTTTCTCTGTTCTGTACAATATGGAAAAATGGGGGCGCTTACTGAAGAAGGAGCAAGGGGGGGGGAATCAGGATTCTTCTTTTGCAACTCTACTTTCCCCCATATATCTAATCGCCATAAGCTACAATGGTATTGGAGATAATGTGGAAAGGTAGGACCAGACATTTAAGCAATAAATAAAAAGAAAGATGGTTGTAGCAGAACCATCAGGGCAGCCTGCTCAGAACTGGAACCTTTTTTGGTCTGTGTGATTTTATTTATTAAAAGCATTTTAACCCAGATTGGCTTTCATTCAGATCAATAAAAAAACCAAGACATTCCCTGCCCACATGATGACAATCTAAAAAACATGGCACAAAAGGCAAAAGGGGACGGAGAGGGAAGAGGGAAAGCAAACCCAGACACCAGTTTAGAAAGATTTTGCCCATCTCTCACGGTCAGCGCTTGATCCCTTTCCAGAAGTCCCTCATTTCTCTCTTGGAAGAGATTATCTCAGGGTTTGGAATCACAAACATGACATCTTCCAATACTGTTATCTTCTGTGTTTCAAAAGGTGAAATTTCAGATATGAGCCTTGCCTTCTTCTCTCTTCTTTTTTCAGACTTGCTGCCTGAAAAATGCAAACTGCCGCTAAACAAGGGAGTACGGGGCAGAAAAACCACACTGAGATATTTCTATGATTTCAAAAAGAAGAAGTGTACAATGTTCTTTTATAATGGCTTTGGAGGCAACAGAAACAACTTTCTGGATATTAGACAATGTATTCGAGAGTGTGCAGATGTTGGTAAGCGCAAATAAATTTGTGGGCTTTCGCAGGCAGCCCTAAATGTCCTACACTTCATTCTAACCATTAGTCATGGACAAGTGCTGTTTGAACTCCAGCGATGCAATTGTCTGTTCTTTCCTAGGCCACACCTACGCCTTTAAAAACACTATGATACCACTTTAAAGTGTTGTAAAGGTAAGGTAAAGGTAAAGGTACCCCTGCCCGTACAGGCAGACTCTAGGGTTGTGCGCCCATCTCACTCAAGAGGCCGGGGGCCAGCGCTGTCCGGAGACACTTTCCGGGTCACGTGGCCAGCGTGACAAAGCTGCATCTGGGCGAGCCAGCGCAGCACACGGAAACGCCGTTTACCTTCCCGCCAGTAAGCGGTCCCTATTTATCTACTTGCTCTTTGACGTGCTTTCGAACTGCTAGGTTGGCAGGCGCTCGGACCGAGCAGCGGGAGCGCACCCCGCCGCGGGGATTCGAACCGCCGACCTTTCGATCGGCAAGCCCTAGGCGCTGAGGCTTTTACCCACAGCGCCACCCGCGTCCCTTTTAAAGTGTTGTGGCTTCCCCCAAAGAATTCTGGGAACTGTGATTTGTTAAGGGTGCTGAGTGTTGTTAAGAGAACCCTCCTTCCTTCGCAGAGATTTAGCAACCAATCCTTCTTCACAGGGAACCTTGGAAACTGTAGCTTTCTGAGGCGGGTAGGGTGTCCTGACAACTCTCTGCACCCTGAACAAACTAGTTTCTAGGATTCTTGGGGGGGGGGGAGTCATGACTCTATCATAACACTTGAAAGGCATGGTGTGTCAATTTGGCTAATTCTAAATATTCTGAAAGATATAAGAAGACAAAAACCAAAAAGTGAAGTGAAAAAGGAATGGGAGTGCCTAAATGAATACCTTAAAAGCCAAGGTTCGATGGCAGAAATCTGGAATAACCTTGTGAAGTGAAAGGATAAGAAAGAAGGATTTATATCTAGATGCTAGGATAGAGATGTTAAGGAAAACAGGGTGATACAATGAGAGGTAAAGGAGGTGCTGTGGGATTGGTGGAAGTCAATGTTTGTTTTTCTTTTTAGTGTTTATATTATTAACTTGTAAGATATGGATTTTTTTTTGTATGCTGGTTTTTGTGTTTTGTGTATTGTTATTTTTTGATATTTTTCGTGTTGTTGTTGTGTGGAAAATACTAATAAAATTTATTATTTAAATAATAAAAAAGAAAGTAAAAAAGAAAGGCATGGTGTGAATGTGGCCCCAACTGTGTCGCCTTGCTATAGGAAAGGAAATCTGCCATGAGAATGGGGGTGGCAATAGCTAGTTGACTGTGTGTTCGCTTTTTAAAAAACCCTCAGAGGGGATTAATCTTATTGTTCTGGAGAAGAAGAAACACACAGGTTTCAAGGGAAAAGAAGGAAAGCCCTTGAACTCTCTTTAGCTTCAGTATTGAGATTCTAGCAATTGTTTCATCAAGTCTGGAGAAGCTGCGGCTTTCCAGATGCTGTTGGACTACAACTCCCATCATACTGTTGTCATCTGGCATCTGGAGCATCACAGCTTCCTCATCCTTGTACTAAAATGTCCACTGCAGCCGCAAAGGCAGGGGACACACTGGTCCATGGGGCTTCTCTGCCGACAGCAGTCTGCCATCAGCCAGCCAACAGCTGCCTATTGTGATTTAGTTGTTTAGTCGTGTCTGACTCTTCGTGACCCCATGGACCAGAGCATGCCAGGCACTCCTGTCTTCCACTGCCTCCCACAGTTTAGTCAAACTCATCCTGGTAGCTTCGAGAACACTGTCCAACCATCTCGTCCTCTGTCATCCCCTTCTCCTTGTGCCCTCCATCTTTCCCAACATCAAGGTCTTTTCCAGAGAGTCTTCTCTTCCCATGAGGTGGCCAAAGTATTGGAGCCTCAGCTTCAGGATCTGTCCTTCCAGTGAGCACTCAGGGCTGATTTCCTTAAGAATGGAGAGGTTTGCTCTTCTTGCAGTCCATGGGACTCTCAAGAGTCTCCTCCAGCACCATAATTCCAAAGCATCAATTCTTTGGCGATCAGCCTTCTTTATGGTCCAGCTCTCATTTCCACACATCACTACTGGGAAAACCATAGCTTTAACTATACGGACCTTTGTTGCCTATTGTGATAATTACAACCATTCCAGAAGATGGGACTGGCTGTCCTTGCCTCTGGCTCCACCTGCTGACTGCTGAGGTAGCTCAGTCGACAGAGCGTGAGACCCTTAATCTCAGGGGCGTGGGTTTGAACCCCATGTTCGGCAAAAGATTCCTTCATTGCAGGGAGTTGAACTGGATGAGACCCTCGTGGTCCCTTCCAACTCTACAATTCTGTGATACTGTTGGGGTCAATGTCTCCCCCCCCCAGTCCCAGTGGGCACCAGTGACCACTGGGCACTGGGAACTGGAGAAAGATAGAGCAGAATAGCACTGTACGCCGACCACGTTGTATTGAAACCGAGAGATCCTTTCAGTGAGACAAGTTCTAATCATTATTCAGTAGTATAGCTATAGCAGGTGTCCAGATATAAACTTAGGGTTCTACTCAGAGAACACCCACTGAAAGTAATAGACATGGCTGATAGAGCTATTACTTTCAATGTAATGGGTCTATTCTAGAATAGAGGTTAGTTGGAAATGACCCTTATTTAGTTGGAAATGACTGAAATACTTTGTATATTTAAAAGTTAGATACAGATATTGAACAGCAAGCTTCCACTTACTTCAATTACAACCTTTTGCAATGTTCCTTAAGGTTATGGCTGTCATATTTTATAATAACAATAATTTGTTTTTGCCATAATGTTCTCTTTTTCAAATGGTGTGATTATATATATGAGCCTTTTGCCTTTGTTTCCTCCCCCCACCCTCCAGTATATATGCCCAAGAGATGTAAGCTCCCTGTAGTCAGCGGACCCTGTAGAGCGTACATTCGTCGCTACTTCTATAATACCAAGACCAATAGGTGTGAGCTGTTTATCTATGGTGGCTGTATGGGCAATGAGAACAACTTTACAGAACGGATAAATTGCATCCGTCAGTGCCAAAGTTACGGTAAGACAAAAAACCCACCCCCACCCCCCACAATCGACAGCACCTACGGTACATTATTTCCCCCAGATAATTCTGGGCATGGTACTAAGGGTTGTCAGGAATAGTAACTCTGAGGGGTAAACAGCAATGTTGAGAACTATTTGAGGGAAATATTGTGTTTTGAATGTAAAGTATAGTGTGCACACAGCCCTAGAGTGCAGGGAGACTTGTAAAAGTAAAGGGACCCCTGAACATTAGGTCCAGTCGTGACTGACTCTGGGGTTGCGGCGCTCATCTTGCTTTATTGGCCGAGGGAGCCGGCATGCAGCTTCCGGGTCATGTGGCCAGCATGACTAAGCTGCTTCTGGTGAACCAGAGCAGCGCACGGAAACGGTGTTTACCTTCCCGCTGGAGCGGTACCTATTTATCTACTTGCACTTTGACGTGTTTTCGAACTGCTGGGTTGGCAGGAGCAGGGACCGAGCAATGGGAGCTCACCCCATTGCAGGGATTCGAACCTCCGACCTTCTGATTGGCAAGTCCTAGGCTCTATGGTTTAATCCACAGCGCCACCCGCGTCCCCCTAGGGAGACTTTTAAGTGTCTTCAAATGAACAATGCAGCAAGATCAGGGTTGGGAGCACGACCCTCAACTCCAACAGGGTTTTGTTCTGCTACTTCAGGAAAGTTTTTAATATTTGACGTTTTATTGTGTTTTCATTATTCTGCTGGGAGCCGCCCAGAGTGGCTGGGGAAACCCAGCCAGATGGGTGGGGTATAAATAATAAAAAATATTATTATTATTATTTTACTGTCTGACGAGGGCTAAAGTATGGAGAAGTGCCTCAAAAGAATGTTGAAAAATGGCAGGCTAGTAAACAACAACACACAAAACTAATGACACTTTTTTTTCTTTTTACTTAGTAACATCAAGGTACTTGAGCAAAAAACCTCGTGTTAAATTTGTTGCCATTGTGTTGTCAATTAGGATGCGGAGATATAGAACATTTCCAGTGATTAGTGGTCGTTGTTTTACATTGTATGGTATGGTGTTGTGGGCAAGGGCTAACTGATGAAGACTGATGGGACCTGATTCCAACTCCATAAAAAGACCACCCCCTAATGGCTACTGGAGCTCAGGAATAGGAATAGCCTATGTCCCACCTTAATAATAGTGTGCTACCTTCCTTCAGATTTCTTTAGCTTATATCCAATTAATTTCTACTCTCAGTTGACTCACTGAACCTCAGTTGGTCATGTGCATGAATTTCAATGCTTCTATTATCTGAATAGAACTAGTGTTGGGTACAGCCCTTCATGACCAGCTCTCCTTTCCCCCCTCAGGTCCACGTGAAGACTATGACCCCAAACAACGATTCCCCTGATTAATCTTTCATTGTGTCCTCTCATGGAGCAAAGGCACCGAGTGAAAGAATGCTGACTCTCTTACAGCTGTACCAAACTTTGCGGGAATTTCTTGCCAATGAACTTAACTTTTCTTCAGCAAATTGTAGTCTGCTCCTTGAGTGTCATTGTCCACAGTCTCTTTTTATCAAATGCCCATTTTGTTTCATTAGTTGTTTGTTCTGAGAGGCTTCCCTGATGCTACCACATTACTGGTGTCCAGAGGAGCTATAGTGCAACAAAAGCAGGACAAAAATAAAACACGACATTTGTGATTTCAGTTACAGGATACCTGTATGCACGGCTTCAAAATGAAGCGGTGTGACCACCCCAGAACTTTTGCATGTGGAAACAGCATTAAAAGTGGGATTGCGTATGACCACCCCACTAGCACCGTGAGCACAAATCATCATGAATGTGTAATAAAAAGGAAGTAATGTGTAATAAAAAGGAAGTCTGAGGGTTACAGGGAAACAGCTACTATAGAGGGAACCTTATGGAATCTGAGTTAATGCCACAATGCCTTTATACTTTTAGTCAGTCTCCAAGCTATTTTCCTAAACAAAAGTTTCCAATATTAGACCTCTGGGAAGAACCATTTTCTCAGGCAAATCGCTCTTCATGTTCCATATATTTAGAGCACTTTTCCTTGTTGCAAATATAGCAGGAAGAAAACAAAGAAAGGAGCAAAATCAGCTTACATTAGCAATAAGAACAACCCATCTATCCTAACTGAAACATACGTATTAATATAAGCAGTTCATTTGTCCAAAGAAATATCCAAATAGCACTGATGATAAGATAACATGTTTCAAATATAGAAAGGCAACTGAAAAACGAATGATGGGTGCTGTCAGGGAACTGACATTGGAGCGAGAGGCGAAGGGAAGGCTCCCAGATGATGCTGGCGAAGGGCCCAGCAGGGGGAGAGGCAGCTCGGTAGAGGGGGAAGCTAATCAGCGCAACACCAGGGATAAAGGGGGGCAGATGGGGGAATCGGCGAGAGGGCTCCAGGACTCTTCACTGGACATCAGCGGAGAGAGCACAGGTCCTCCGTTACCCACGCCCTCCCTGCGCAGAAGATTCCCGCGCAGTGAGAGGAGGAGGAGACTGGGCGTCAAACAACTTTTATGTTGGAAGAGGTTTAAGAAACGCCCACTAACGGATTCTGCTAGCGACTGAGGCAGCCATGATGAGAAGGGCTGTGCAGTCAGAAAGGATTAACCAGGCAATTTAGCCTAGAGAGGCGGCAGTTTACGCACGAGCAACCCATACGCATTACAGCAATCCGTTAGTCCCTGAAGTTGCTTGTGCACAGCAGCAGGCAGGCAGCATCATGAGCAAAGCCGGAGAAGCGAACGCCACGGAGGGAGCAGCTGGAGGGCAAAATCTGGTGGAGAGGAACCGAGATTTGGAACAGCATGTGGCCCTTCTGACGGCGTGGCTGGACGAAAGGCGGTCTCAAGATGCACAGGTCAGACCCACCCCCATAGCAAGGAAGGTACCGGGATTGGTACACAAATTTGGAGGGAAGCCCCAGGACTATAGTGCGTTCCGAACAGAAATAGAGTACGCGTTGGAACTGCAGCACGGTGATTTTGCAGACGATGGGGCGAGGGTTGCCTATATCGTAGGTCACCTGGAGGATGGGGCCAGGGAATGGATCAGGCCCCTAATGGCGACGCAGAATGCCGCCTTGAAGGACCTGAGGAAATTCTTCCAGGCAATGGATGCAATGTTCTCCAGTGATGTACAACAAAGTGTGACTCGGCGGGAACTGATGAACTGTAAACAGGGGAGCCAGTCAGTTAGAGACTACTGGTCACGCTTTGCCATGATAGTTCACCGGTTCGGGTGGCAACTGGACTCTGAACCCATACAAATGTTATTTGAGGAGGGGTTGTCCCCAACGGTGAAGGATGAGCTTTCCCGCGCACCCCACCCGCAGTCGATGGATCAGCTGACCAAGGCTGTGCTTGCGATTGGCGTACGGCAGGAAGCACGGGCCCAGGAGAGGCGGGAAGGGAGAGAGCAACGTTGCCATGACTACCGCATTCCTGAAATACCAAGGCAGCCTTTCCCGCCAGTGGAGCCAATGGAAATTGATGGGGCGCGCGGGCGGGAAGTTTCAAGTTCCAGCGAAGGTCGCAAGAAGGAGGGAAAGGATTGGAAAACCACCAAGAAGTGTTTCCTTTGCCAGCGACCAGGACATTTTGCCAGGGCCTGCCCTCAAAGAAAGGCCTGGCAAGGAATGGTGGGAGCTGCAGGGGGTGAGGAGGAGGTGGAAAAGGAGCAGGAGCAGGGAAACGGGAAAGCTTGGCTGCCACTCAGTGGGCACAGCAGCCAGGCCAGCAACCAGTAGAAGTGCCCCAACCAGACCCCCCCAAGGTGGCTATAGCCATCGAGGTGGTGCTAGAACTCCCGAACGGGCACCCAGTCAAGGTGAAAGGGATGCTGGATTCAGGCAGCTCCTGTAATTTCTTCAGCAAAGACTTTGCATTAGAGCACCAGCTCCACCTACTGCCCTTGGATTTCCCCTTGCAAGTAACCACCATTGATGGCAGGGAGCTTCTGGGAGGGGAAGTGACACACCAGACCCCACCAATGAGAATGAGGGTTTCCAGGCACTCGGAGACTATCGCCTTTCACGTCGCCTCACTAGCAGGGCCCCCAATAATATTAGGGATGAGCTGGCTAGCACAACATGATCCAGTGGTGGCATGGCATCAGAGGGCAGTCACCTTTGGGTCCGCTTACTGCCTAGAACACTGTCTAGGAGGGGAAACCCCAAGGATGGCCGTGGCCAGGGTGGCTGGGATGGCTGTGGAGCAGAAGGGGGAGGTGCCACCACAATATGCGGATCTGCAGGAGGTCTTCAGTGAGAAGGAGGCGGATAGACTACCCCCCCATAGGCCCTTTGACTGCGAGATCAACTTGCTCCCGGGGGCGCAGCTGCCGGCGGGTAAACTGTATGCCATGTCGGACAGGGAGATGAAGGAGTTGCGGGAATTTATTGACAAGAACCTGAAAAGAGGCTTCATAAGAGAATCAAAAGCGGGGGGGGGGGGCAGTCCGGTGTTCTTTGTGGACAAAAAAGACACTAATAAACCCAGGCTCGTTGTGGACTATAGGGCCATCAATTTGGTGTCGGAACCCGTGACCTTCCCAATGCCCAGGATTGATGACATTTTAACGCGAGTGAGGAAGGGGAAATTTTTTACCAAGCTGGACCTCAGGGGAGCATACAATTTGATCAGGATGAATGGAAGACCACAATGTTCACACCCCTAGGGGCCTTTGAGTACTTAGTTATGCCTTTTGGATTACAGTCGGGCTCCGCCTGTTTTCAAGCTTTCATGCACCACGTGTTGGGGTCTCTGCTGTACAAGAACTGTGTAGCCTTCTTGGACGACATCTTAATTTATTCGGACAACGAGGAGCAACATGTCAGAGACGTCAGGGAAGTGCTAAAACGACTGCAGAAGCACCAGTTGTGGGTCAAGCTGGAAAAATGTCAGTTTCACGCCAGAGAAGTCGAGTTTCTGGGGTACAAGTTGTCAGACAAGGGCCTAGCGATGGACCCAAGCAAGGTGCAGGTAGTGCTGGAGTGGAAGGCTCCCAAAACCCAGAAGGACGTGCAGAGGTTCCTAGGGTTCAGCAACTTCTACAGGAAGTTCATCAAGAACTTCGCTCACTTGACAGCGCCCATCACAGATTGTCTCAGTAGCAAAAGGAAGTTCGTCTGGACAGAGGGGGCCCAGCAATCCTTTGAAAGACTGAAGAAGGCGTTCGCATCGGAAGAGCAACTCCTGCACGTAGATCTGGAGAAACCTATGAGGCTAGAGACCGACGCATCCGACAGAGCCATTGGGGCGGTCCTTTTGCAGCAGGGAGGAGCAAGCAGGAATGGAAACCGTGTGCCTTTTTCTCGAGAAAGCTGAGCAAGTCGGAGCAAAACTATACCGTGTATGACCGCGAACTGCTTGCGATCTATGCGGCCTTTCATCGATGGCGCCATCTACTGATAGGGGCGCAACACCAGATCCAGGTTTGCACAGATCACAATAACTTGGAGTACTGGAGGACAGCACGAGTACTCAACCAGAGACAGATTCGATGGGCACAGGAGTTCTCCAAGTTTTCCTTCGAAATCCGATACGTGCCAGGAGAGGAAAACGTAAGAGCAGATGCTCTCTCCCGGAAGCCGGAGTACATGGAAGGAGAGGGGCCGCCGGAGAAACGACACGTGATTCCCGAGGACCGATGGGTGTGTGGGGGAACCTTGGTGGGGAAACGAGAACTGGCCGGACTTACCAGAAACAGCATGTTCGCACAAACTAAGATCCGGGAACTCCGAGACGGAAGAGAAACCCAAGAAGGGTTGGAGGAGAAGGAAGGGGTGCTGTACTATAAGGGGGCGCTGTATGTACCGGGGGAGACCCTGAGGGGAAAGGTACTCAAACAACTCCACGACAACCCCACAGCTGGGCACTTTGGACAGCACAAAACCATGATGCTTGTCACCAGGCAGTTCTGGTGGCCCAGGGTGAGGGAGGATGTACGGGAATATGTACGGGGGTGCGACCGCTGCCAAAGGGCAAAGGGGGAGCGGTATTACTGGAACCCTTACCCACGCCGGGAAAACCCTGGGAGGTGGTGTCCATCAATTTTATGACTGATTTGCCCAAGTCCCGGGGAAAGACAGCGGTCATGGTAGTGGTCGATCTACTGACAAAAATGTGCCATTTTATAGCTTGCTCACATGCGGTAACGGCAGAGGAAACAGCCCGGTTGTTTGTGGAGCACATCTTCAGGTTGCATGGCGCTCCCTCGAGGGTTATCTCCGACCGCGGGAAACAATTTACTTCCCGGTTCTGAAGGAAGCTCATGAGCTTGCTGCAGGTCGAAGTGGGCTTCTTGACGGTGAGACACCCGGAGACCAACGGGCAAGCAGAAAGAGCGAACAGTATACTCCAGCAATACCTACACTCCTACGTCAGCGAGAGGCAGAACGATTGGGTAGAGAAACTAGCGCTGGCTGAATTTGCTT